TTTTTTAATTTTTCTGATTATTTTTAAAATGATGAAATAAAATCAATAGTAATTATACTTCTTACATTATTTATTACATATAATTCATTACAATTTATCATATACAATTCAGCATAGTCGTCAGAAGTTCAATGATACAATCTCTGTTTGAATTCTATTTTTATTTTTTTGTTTAATGAACAGTAAAACCCGATGCAGATGAGGTTTGGGATAAATTGTCACAGCGGCATTTTTTTGGGAGAACAGAAATATAAAGTTCATGAAACAAAAAAATTTTGTGTTTGTGTTGTTCCAAAACGTTGCTCTCACGATTTTGCGGTTCTCTAAGCAATCGAACGATAGCTGTTCGGGTCAATTCTTAGTCTTATTCTGGTTGCGAGCATCAATTTGAGAATAAAGGATGCATACAGTTGAATAGCATTAAAAGTATGTAGTCAAAAATATTTGGTGGCAGACTGCACAGGAGGATATGTAGGATTAAATATGTTATCAGAGCAAAGATTTGGATTTGAATTTAATTAAAAAATATTTTTCATAAAAACATATTTAAGAGAGTTACGGTCGATGAGTTATATTTTATATTTAAAGCATTTAAGTTAATTCCCTTTATGATTTTGAATTTGATTATAGCTATTACTAAAAATTTTTTGAACTCCAATTCATATATTTCATTCATGATATTTCTGATATTTCATACATGCGGAACGCGAGTTATCTTTATTAATTAAGCTAAATATTTTATATTGATTTAAATTTTTTATTGTTCATATTTATGTTAAATTTTTTTAACAGGAGCATGGTGATTGAAGAATGATATATATGTATAATATGTATTTTAATTGTGATTGCCTTTTAATCTCTTCTAATTGTCAAAATGTGACCCTTAATTTTTAAAAGTAATGAGTTTTTCGTGAAATTTACATTTTTTTACATCTATTTAAACTACACTTGTAACTTTTTACAGCTTGGAGATAATTTATTTTATTGTGGATTAATTTTCAAAATAATTCTTATATGTAGTAAAATTACTTAATCACCTTCAGTTTTCTTATACGTTATAAAATTCTAAATAATTGTAAATTGATACTCAAAATGCAAGAGCAGATGCATGAATTTTCTATGTATTATTTTTTATAATTGTATGAAAGGTTTTTGTAATCTGATAATTTTACGAAAATAATACAGTTAAAAAATGTTAGATTTCTGAGCAAGAAATATGTCATGGAAAATATGATTCACATACTATCAATACTATAAGTATTTTGCGCCTTTCTTTCAATATTTTCAATTGATTTTAATAATAAAAGGCATACGAGATAATTCATCGATGGTTTCATAGAAGCGAAATTATGAACCGATATAACTCGGCAATGGTATTGTAAAAGCGGTATTATGAAGGAGAAATATCTCGTTAGTATTATTTAACTAACATAATTATGGTGAGATATTCTGTTCATGGTAACAAAAGGATTAAATTTAAAAATTAAAATTAAAGTTAAATATCTCTTAATAGTATGTATACATGTATACTGTTTGACTTAATAGTGTTTTGACATTAATACTTTTTTATTGAGAAAATAAAAAATATATCATTCCACTTAAAAAAGTAGAGGTGACTGTTCTGCTGGCCTTGGGTACGACCAGGGCCAATAAATACATAAAACTAATGTGAGGACCGTGTCCTTGGGCAATACTGTTAGTCCCATAAAGTAATTACAAATATTACTTTATGGGATTGACCAGCCCAAGGAACATCGAGACTTTCCTACATGCGAAGTCACAGAAAAAATGCGCCAGAGTTCGTAGAGTTCGGAGTAAGTATGTTTGATTTCGCAAAGTGTAAACCTGATTCTTAACTGTACGTTTGAGTCCGTGAAATTTTCCTGCGCATGAATCGTGATTCTAAAGTGACCTTGAAATTTTCGAAAACCCTTATCTACTAGGGTGGAAAGAAAATAGAAAGAAATTGTCCGTGGACATCATAAATGAATTTTACACGTTCGATTTGGTGGATTTAAAGAAGTTGATTTGAATTTCAAGGTTCAAAATTTTTTTTGCATTGTATTCTACTCATCACGAACATAAAATTTTTTCAGGGAACCATAGATTGCAACCCAATAGTTTTCTCGAAAAATGGCAAAAAGTTTTTTAATCACTTAACATTGCGAACGTGTGTGTGCTTAATAACGACTTCATGATTCTGGATTAGGTTTTACTAACATTCGATTTATTACAGTTGTAGTATCAATGTGAGTAATTGTGACTAATCAAATAATAAAACTAACTGTTTCAATTATAAAGTAAACATTATTCAAAATATAAACATTACACCCATACATACTATCCATGCATTACATCAACGTAACCATAAAATCGCTTTTAGAACGCACGCGTCCGCGTAATTTAAAAATTTTGAAAGTCATTTGAAGATCATATCATGAACGTATCTGAATATATTTTTTCATGAGCTACGTGATTGAATAGAAAGAAATGAAGAATACGTTTCCTACATAAAAAATGTTAATGAGCATAAAAAAACATTAAAAAATGTATTTTAGAAAAAATAGCTCTATGCGATTCTCTTCACTAGAGAATCTAGTAGAACAACTAGTTTGTCACGCCAGAAACGATTTCGTATTATCACTAATAAAAAAGGTGGTCTGGTTTTCGTGAAACATCCTGTATATTTTATATAAACAATTAAGGAAATTTAAAATTTTTTTAAATTTTTTGTCAGTTTTAAAAGTATTCAATTACTAAACATAAAAATAAAAAACATAAATTATTTGCCAAAAGCACATATTTCAAAATGCACTGATTTTTTAAAATAAATTTTACGACTTAAATAATAATACAATTTGATATATTCAGTTGTATTAATGGATGTCACATCATAAACTATGTTTTAACTATGTATTAACATATAAAAATAAAAATATTTGTACAATAGATTTTATACTTTTAATTTTTGATTTCTATTCAATGACCGAAATATTTTACGTTCATATAATTATCACTCATTGTAAATTATTGATGCGGTAATTATTAATGCGAATTTGACTAATTGTAAGACTGATAAATGATTATTCTTATCTAATTAAAGAATTAAAAGACGTTATTATGTAATTGTGATCTTATTTGCCTGTTTTAATTAGTGATAATTTTAAAATAGAGCTTATTTAAAAATATGTAACATGTATGCGAATACTAAATTTATTAAAAATTTGGGGGTACTGTTTTGAATAGTTCCTTCGTTTCTAAAATAGGTACTTATATTTTAGTTTATTAATGTTAATACGCTAAAAATAATTTTAACCAAATTTGAAAAAAAACTTTTTTATAGAGTAATATTTTATACTTTATACTAATAAGAAACTGTTATCTGTCAAATTTCAGATTCCAATTAAACAATGTAAAAGTTTTGATTTTCGAGCAAGCATTATACATAGATGTGAATGTATCAAAAGAAATGGTCTACAAGATAAATGTATGATATGGGATTGTATGGGTAGACCAGAATGTATGACAAAATTATACCCCGTTTGCATGCCTGGCCGTAATGCTTTGCTGAAATTAACAGATTTAGGAGATATGGAAATTGCTTTAAGAAAATTTTATTGTGCTGATCAAGCAAGAGAAGCTGCATTAGCTGCATATTGTAGATTGGCGTGTAATAATACTGCAGAAACATTTTGTTGTTCAAATAAGAAGCCAATATGTTCAAACAATATGATTTGTAAACCTACATGTATCGAACTACCATTCTGTTTACCTTCTATTACTCCTTGTACACCGGCTTACAATATTTGTGTTCCATGTCCACCACCATGTCCACCATCATGTCCACCACCATGTCCACCGCCATGTCCACCGCCATGTCCACCGCCATGTCTACCACTATGTCCACCACCATGTCCACCACCATGTCCACTACCATGTCCACCAGCATGTTCACCAACATGTTCATTAACTTGTTTAACACCATGTCCATCACCACACCCACCACCATCATGTTCCTTATCTTGTCCACCATTATGTTTATCAATGTGTCCATCACCACATCTATCAACATGCCCATTGTCGTGTTAACTAAAATGTGTATCAATATATTCTATTTTTTATTTTGCGTAGCAAATTTATGAGAATATTTATCTGCTACTTTATATGTGACATATTATCTTATTTACTCTATACATTTTTCATTCATCATTTTGTTTTGAGTTTATTTTACTGTGTATATTTTACATCTTTCTTTGTAATATTTATCATACTCGAAATATTTTCATAATATTATGCAAATAAAACAGTTAATATGTAAGTTATTTGAAAATTTTATATGTACTTTCTATTATTTTGTATACATTTTAGTATATTTATAAATAATGTATGTTATAAAAATTTCGATTTCAATAAATATAATAAAATATATTTGAATAATAAATGAATTATTTTATATGATTACTTTGATTTATTATTATAGAATAAAAGTATATGAATTTCAGTATAGTAATAATATACTATTAATTAAATGATGGATACTCTTCTGGATGTTGAGATTGTAAATATTTTGCTGGTAATTGCGTTTGGCATTAACAGGAGTCTTGAAGTTCATCAAGTATAGACATCAAGTGTACACAATGACATCTTGTGAATAGAATGCTAGATCGCATTTCAAGAAATTGTAAATGATCTGTGTGCTGAAATAAAAATTAATATTTATTATATGTGAGAACCAAATTACATTGAAGTCGGTGTAGGTTTCATACCACCAGTTTTCACCTCACACATCCAAGAAATCATGTGTATGCATATCAGGACTAGAGAAAATATATACATGAGAATCTCGTTTATATGAATTAATTCTATAATACTAAGTGCAGATATACGAACTTATAATTGATACGAACTTATAATTTTTGTTATCTGAACTCTGATTAATTCAGAAATATCAAATAATTCGGAAATTCAAAATCAAATTCAAAAATAAGAGCAAGCCTTGGAGATAGCTAGTGACTTTCTGTTATTCGAACTTGTCAATTGTCTGAATAACTCCTTCGTTCAGATAAACGAGGTTCTATTATATTTGAAATAGATAATTGAAAATACTAAATATTTTTAATTTTTAAATTATAAGTATTCGTATACACTTGAAAGTATTCAAACTAGAATATTTCCTATACATTCTATATACAGAGTGATCTATTTAAGTGAGGCTATCTAAATATTTTTTTGAATTACGATGATACAAAAAATATTTTTCATCTGACATGAATGATATCGAAAGCCTTCGAAAGATCAACTGGTAAGAATATTTTTTTAAGGTCATTTTTTCGGAGTTTTCAAAGTCATTAATAATTTTTTTTCATATAACTATATATTCTTCAAATGACACTGATGTTCAAAAATTAAAGTTTTTGTTTAAGGATTAGTTTCGTATTGTGCAAACTTTAGAAACGTGCATATGATTTACAAAATCTGTTCTGTAAAGATCTTCTGATATAGATATAGATAAATAAATGATGTGGATGAACTTTTCTCCTTTTAATATCCGTATTAGGCAGGGTTTTAGAAATTTTACTTTCACACTCAAGTTGTATTACAATTAAACTCATGTGTAGATTTTCGTTAACTGTAACTATAATATTTCCTTTATTTCTTTTTGTAAAGAACTAAAGATTGACTAGAGATTCACAAAAGTGAAGAAAGTACTATATAGTGACTAATGAAAGTATTCAAACGATTACAATTGCAACTTTTAATAAATATATTGTGTGTTAAACGAATTTATTTAAAAAATGTGGTGTATGTAGTAAGAGTGAAGTTTCAATTATATCAGCAAAATCTGAAAATGATTCAACTAATAAATAACGCTTGTTGATATCAAAAATATGAATATTAATATTTAATGCAAACATCGACATAATCGTTCTGTTAATAATAAAATAAAATTGTAATATTTAAAATGAATACTAAAAAGTTACTTTATAAAAGTATGAACGAGAAATAATTTTTTAACTACATGAGAACGGGAAATCGTACAATGAGATTGCAGAAATTTGAAACTCACAGTATATTGTATTATAAAAAACTAACCGATAATTATCAATAAAATTCGTCGATTTATTTTCACGTCAACATTCAAATATGATGGTATCTAGAATATTCGATAAAGAAGTTCTCCAATTATATTGAATCTTACGGAATGATTTTCATAGTAAAGAATAAAAAAAAGTTTTACATTAATAAGCAAAATCAAAAAAAGAAACTAACTTTTGTAAAAACATATATAACTAGTAAAATAGTGCTTTTTGAGGAAAAAATAATATTTTTCGATGAATCTACAAATTAAATATTTATAAATTTAATATCTATAAATTTAATATGTCTATGATTAAAATTATTTATGGAGAAAATCAAATACAGAATTGAAATCAAATCCAAAATTTACACCTAATGATAAAATATGAGGATGGTTAGGTCATGGTATGGAATACAATTTACATGACAGTGATACAATTTAATATTTATTGATAGAATACGCAATAAATATCTAAATATTTTAAAATTAGGAATCTAAATAACCTTAAAGTTAGGATTATTGGAAGATTTCTACTTTCTACAACAGAATAACGATTTTAAACATACAACGTGAAACGGATTCTATTTGATAAAGTAAATATGTTAAATATCCTAGCGTAAAGTTATGATATTGAAAATTTATGGATTGAAATCGGCAGAAGATTAAATAAATTCCAAGTATCTTCAAAGATAAAAATTATGGAAGTATAGAATTTGATCGACTGTACTTTTACGAAGTTACACTGGTTCATAGTATGGACCATAGTCGACTGATAATGAGACAAATTATTACTATTAAAGATCCAATGAAATATTAATATCAAATGATGTTATGATATATGAAATATTCCTTATATATTATATAACGAATACTTCTAACAATTCCTGAGCTACTAATGTTGCGCGTTTACAATAATTACTGCCTAAGTTAAATCTTATTCAAATTTTACTGATACTTACTCTCTTCACTATACATATATTATATTGTTTTAAATAAATATTTGTTCAAATATTTTGTTCATCAGAAATTACAAATATAATTATTCAAATACTTTTGTTAGGTCACGGTATATTATACAATTTTTTAGTAATGGAATTATAATTATATTCAAATCAATAACTACAAATACTACTGGATGTTGTATTTTGTTAGACGCATACATCTGTTCTACTTTAAATGTTCATTTTTGATATTTATAGTTTTTAAATTCACTTTTTATAGATAAAATGACATGTCCGGCTTAAACAATATACAAGGTGCTATTAATTTGTGTAATTTTGAAATCAGTTTAAGAAATTTGAGCTTGAGTAGCTTAGCAGTCCCAACAATAAAATCAATTACCGAAATTGAAAATTCCTGAGCTGATAGCTCTTTGAATATCTGTGTCTTTTCATAGCAAGTTAGTGTGAAGCTGAAAAAGTGATATACCAGAGGGGGAAAGGCTGTGTTGCACGAGATAGTTAATTTTTTTTATACTTACAATCAATAGATGTTTTTAGAAGATATATTATATTGAATTTAGTTAAAACAAATAATCAAACAGAATTTTTTCCACGAGACATTTTTCTGATTTCCAGTTTCAAACAATACATATGTACATCAATTTTTGAAATTCATATCGCATAGTTGTGTATAATAGCGTTTGAATTTCTAATACTGCTTATATTAAAAAATTTTTTATTTCATACCAAAAGAGATCTATTATTCATAGTATTACTATAAACAGTAATTTCATGTGAATTATTTATTGTATTATATATATAATTATTTATTGTATTATAGATTTTCTGGAATATAAACTGATAACTTATATACAAATTGATACTAATTATGTTGCGGTGCGATGCGTCAAATGGCCGTGGTTCGCACGGGGTCGGATAGCGACCGTGCGGTGAAGTGTTAGATGAGCGTGAAATAGAAGTTTGATGATTCCGATGTAAGATCGGAAATCACTAGTGGTGGACTGTACTTAATACATGAAACGTTACGACTATAGCTTACGATGATGGAGCAGTGATTGCTCACAGTAAGGTAGTGATGATGATTTTAGCACCCGGCCGATGCGAGTCTGTTTTATGTCACATCGTCAGTGATCATTAGCCAATCATTTCAAATCATGGCACGTTTGATTTACTCAGGGTAGGTCAGTTAAATTGAACGATAGATGTTAACCGTTTCTGGAGGACACAAATATAACAGGCTCGGCAGCCGAAAATGAAAACAATATTTGCGCATGGCACGACAGCCGTGTTCGCACGTGGAAAATGTTAGGACTTCTTGTCAGCATGAAAAAGCGGGCCATTGCTTTTGATTAAACATAATTACAAACGAAGCTGAACAATAAATTTCTTCATGCGGACAAGAAGTCCAAATCATCTTTTTTTCCAGAGGATTCTAGAAGCGACTGCCTAACGGAAATTCACCTCGCGAATATCTCGCGGGCGATGGAAAATGCCTGAACAGATTATAAGACATATTTTGATAATAACTATCAAAAATAAAAACATTTCGAATTGTATTCCGCTTACTGTAGAGATTAAATGTATTTTATTTCATTCTGCAGCTAACAAAATCCGATGCAGCCGAGTACTTTGTAGCAAAGCTATCAGTGTTTATATGTGAAACAATTCACATGGGGCACAATGTTTAATGATAACTAGGCGACGTTTGTCAAACGGATTGCGTCGACTCATTAGCTATATACCTCAATATAGACTCAATAGGTTTATGATAATTGAACGCAACAAAATGACTGATATTAGTGTTAACATTTTCATTAATGAAGATATAAAAGTGACCGCAAAACATGATTAATTTCTGTGGAACAAAATTGTTAAGTCCAGCCTCGATCAAGCCTTTTCGCGCTAGACTTGGATATCGCACTCGCACGTGCTAGTATGACTCCCTAGACTTGACTCCCTAGATGCGACCGTTGCGACTGAAGTCTCTACGCCCGAAGGACCACTCACGACAATGTGAAACCGAAGTCGACGTGTTCTACGATGCGTAGGTTTTCCAAACTGCTCGAGATGGGTGTCTATGTGAATCTGTTCCCGATGAGCGTCCTTTCGTGTCCCAGTCGTCCCTTTCGCAACTGTCCGAAAAATCCTCCCTGTGAAGACGTGTGTATTTTCCCTCCCCGGAAAACTGTCTGGGAAGGGGATACCGAGAACCGTGTGCAGGCAAACAGAAATCTTTGTGGAAAGTGCAACTTTCACTTTCCCAAGGGCTATATGAAACTTGTTTGTTCGTGGGGACCTACCGTAATTGGAAGGTTGTAATATTATCGGTAGGATGCAGACCCACTGCCTGCATTCAATGTAGTAAAAAATACAAATTTCCTAAAACTGCCTTAAAAAACATTAGTGCTACAAATTACGGTCGTTGCTGGTCTTAACAAAATGATGACCTTTGATTATAGAAATCATCCTAATACAAGATTTTCAAAAATTTCAATACATCCAGTAATGAAGTGTACAAAATATTATAGAGGACGCTGAATTAAATAAAAAAATTAGAAGTATTCAAATCATTTTATATTAAAAGTTCAAATGTATTTAAATGAAAGTAACATAACTAATTAATATCTACGACCATGAAAATGATCAATGCAACATACAATAAGCACATAAAAGGTAAACTAATGCTTGAGGCAAACTTGAATTATAATTATAAAAATTATTAAAAAAATGAAGTAACTCATAACAAAAAGATCTTTCTTTTTTTCAAATCAGGAGAAATATACAGAATGGAAAGAAATGTTTGATCTTGACTACCATAGGTAAATTCTACATTTTCGATTTGATGGAAAAGTAAGGAACCTGCCGTAAAATTGATTTTGATTGAATTTTAAGATTAATATTTTTTTCGTTTGCATTGTATTCTACTGATTATGAAGATCAAACTTGTCCAAGAAACTATGGATTACAATCTAACGGGAAAGTTCGACCCACGACTGTAGCAATAATAAATCTTATGAAATCTCTGTGAAACTCAAAATGCATTCTGAAAAATAAAGAAAAAATGCGTGCTGAGAAAAATAAAGAAACAAAACATATTTTCTTTGTAGTGAAAACGGCAAAACGATGATTGAAATATTTGATGATTTTATAAAGTTATAATTGCTACAAGCTAATTCAGAATTTCTTTGGACCATGCATAAATTTAAAAACATAAAGAAATTAAGTACAAATGAAAAATAGAAACATAAAATTCGAAATTCTGAACGGTTAAAAATTTCAAATTTTTAAAAAGATAAAATTATTAAGATTTATTCCGCGGATAAGAAGTATTATAGGACACAAATTGCATGAAATATCTTGTACAAAAAATATTGTTTTTGTTATATTCATTTATTTAAAGTGCATATAAATATAGATCACAGAGGTTGTGGTATTAAGAAAATGAATTACCCGTAGGTAATATAGAAAGGATAATGAGCGATATTTATGTTTATATTTATATCCGTACTTCTAAACATATTGTATTACTTAATTTTTACCTACTATTTTCTATAAAATAGGAAGTAGTAAATGAAAATTGAAAATAAATATTTATTTTTACAATGTTTATAGAAGACAGCTTGGATGATCTTGAGCTTGATATATGTAATAAGAACATTCTCCTTGTATTCAAGCGGTTTTAGTTGTTGCTTACTATTAATTAAAAGTACTATTAATTATTAAAAATACAATAAGATTGATATATTATAGTATTTTGTTAGGATTCAATGAGAATTTGTTTAAATCATCAACAAATGGAAGAGGGATTCTTTCAAGATTGAATTAGG